CTACAACAACGACGTAAACGCAGCGAAGAACCTGATCGCGGTGGTAGAGCCGTAGGAGGCCAACAGCGACGTGGAGGTGGAGGAGGAATCCGAGCAGGTTGATACGATGGACGACCTGACCGGGGGTTATGCCTCATCGACGTCTTCGCTGGGGGTCGGACGCATGCTTCGGCTTTATAAGGAAGAGGAGTTGATCGAGATGACGGAAGACGCGGTCAACTCCACCCTAATAGGCGACGTGGGCGATAACGGCCAAAATGGTGAAGGTATTGCAGATTAACCTTCACCACTGTAAAGCAGCTTCAGCTGCGCTGCTGCTCCATCTAACAGCTAGAGGGGCAGCCGACATCGTCCTAATCCAAGAACCTTGGGTGGTGGGACAAAACATTTTCGGGCTGAAAGCGCTGGGCTACAGACTGGTACGTGGAGCCTCAACGGGGAAACCAAGGACGGGCATATTGATAAGTATCACACTAAAGTGTCTCTTTCTTCCACAATTTAGCGACGAGGACACAACAGCGGTCAGTCTAAGTGTAAACGGAAGACCAATTAAGATGGCACCCACGCACCTAGCGCACGACAAGGAGGTGCCAACTATCTGCATAAAGGACCCAGTGACCATCGCGAGGGAGGCGCCATTTTTGGGAGGCGATGCAAATGCTCACCATCATACCTGGTCGATCCCACTTTTATTACAAAATCCCAAAGGGAAGTGCTGGACGTTAACCTTATCTCTGAGAATGCGGAATGTCTGGTCGAGAAGTGGAAGGTGCTCGAGGAGCACTCCTTTTCCGACCATCGATATATCCAATTCGAGATAGCACGGGGAATGCCCAAGGCTCCTCTAACTAGAAACTTGCGAAATGGCAACTGGCATAGGTATCGGGAAGAGCTGGATAGGCTTTTGCCAGAAGATAGAGAGCCGACTACTCCAGCAAACCTAGAGGAGCTGGAATATCTTGTCGACCATTTTACGGGCGCCTGCAGTAAGGCAATTGACATTGCATGCCCTAAAAAGCAGCACAGGAGTAGAAAAAAGCCACCCTGGTGGAATGAGGAAATCAGGATTTCACGTAAGAACTGCAGGAAAACCTCCAACCAGGCCTCTGTGTCTGGTAGTGAGGGACATTGGGATACCTACAAGACAACGTTACGGGAGTACAAGAAGCTCCTAAGAAGGTCGAAAAGAACCTCATGGAAAGACTTCTGCAAAGGGGTGGAGTCTATCTCAGAGGCAGGCAGGCTCAGAAATATACTCTCAGGTGCTGCCCAGAAAGCCCAAGGACGCTTGCAAAGACCTGACGGCTCCTGGACTGAGACCGAGGAGGAATCACTGGATCTGCTTCTTTGCACACACTTCCCGGGTGCCACGGACAGCATGCCGGTACAGCCACATCTAACTGGAGATCTTTTGGTCACTGGAGACTTCCTCACTAGGAAAAAGGTCATCCGGTCTATTGGGACTTTTAAGCCATATAAATCACCAGGTCCGGATGGCATTGCCCCCATACAGCTGCAGCAAACACTTCAGCTAAGCTCAGCGTGGCTACACGCTATAATTAAGGGTGTATTAGCTCTTTATCATATCCCTAGAAAGTGGAGGGAGTCAAGAGTGGGGCTCATCCCCAAGGCAGGGAAGGTGTCCCACAACAACCCAAAGGACTTCAGGCCTATCACCTTGTCGTCAGTTCAATTGAAGGTTATGGAGAGACTGGTGGAGGTCCGTGTCAGAGGGTCGGTTGGTGACGGGCTCTCTACCACACAACATGCTTATACGAAAGATAGATCTACAGAAACAGCGCTACATGGAATAGTGTCGCATATAGAAAGATCACTACATAGACATCAAAGAATATACGCTAGCAGCCCCTCTATTATGGGCCGCAGCGGTAAACTCACTGCTGTGTGGCATGGAGGGGGGTGGCTGTAAGGTTATTGCGTATGCGGATGATCTTGTACTAACAGTAAGTGGGAAATTTCCAAAGACCTTATGTGACATTATGCAGGTAAAACTGAAGGAAGTCGAGAGTTGGACAAAAAATAACTGGTTAGGGTAAACCCAAACAAAACAGAACTTGTACTATTCACGAGAAGGTACAAAATCCCCCCATAGTCCTATTTAAAAAATTAAGCTGGACTCAAAACACCGAAGAGCGGGTGCGGAAGGCCAGGGTTGCCCTATACAGCTGCAGGAGAGCAATCGGCCAAAAATGGGGCTTAACCCCGAAGCTAGTGCACTGGATATACACCGCCGTGGTGAGGCCCATACTTCTGTACGGGGTAGTGGTATGATGGCTAGTGCTGGAGAAGAAAGTAAACAGTAATAAATTACAAAAAGTGGAGAGAACGGCCCTGATCTGTATTAGTGGTGCTCTCCGCACAACACCTACTATGGCATTGAATACGATCCTTAACATCATACCTATAGATATTATAGGACTACAATACGCTGCGTTTGCAGCCCTAAGACTACAGGGGCTTAAAAGCTGGAAAGCGGCTCGTTGTGGTCACACTACAATTCTGAGAAATCGACAACTACCGAGTACAACGGATTATTGTGTACCAAGGCTCACCTTCACTAGAGGTTATAGCGTAATGCTACCTAGCAGAGAATCATGGCTCGAAGGAGTTCCAGGGTCTAGAGATGCCATAAGATTCTACACGGACGGCTCCAAACTAGAAATTAGGGTAGGAGGAGGCGTCTACTCGGAGAAATTGGGAACAAAAAGATCATTCCGACTACCTGACCATTGGAGTGTCTTTCAAGCCGAATTGGCAGCCATACAGGAAGCCGTTGACAGCCTAAAACTAGCTGTTATCGCCACTATGGAAATATATATATACTCAGACAGTCAGGTGGCCTTTATGGCGCTTGTCTCTGTCCTTATAAATTCGGAAACAGTTGCCAACTGCCGCAAATCACTTAATGTGATGGCAGAGTAGTTCTCTTTGCACCTGGTATGGGTACCGGGGCACAGTGACATACCAGGAAATGAGAAGGCAGACGAGCTTGCAAGGGCGGGTACTTCCTCTCCACTTTCACCAGCCTGGAAGAGGATGGGTATGCCACTCGCTTCCTGCAAGCTCTTACTAAGGGAGAACTTCCTTGAAGAAGCGGCCTCCAGATGGGATCGCTCTGAAAACTGTAATACAACGAAGCTTACGTGGCCAAAATGGGATGTACGGAGATCGAGAGAAATTCTTACTCTCAATAAAGGCGATATGTCACTGGCCATTGTTCTGTTCACAGGACATATCCTGATAGGAAGGCACGCAGAACTCCTCGGGGCTAGTCACAACTACTGCAGGAGCTGCCACGCGAAGAAGAGCCTGAATCAATAAGGCACTTACTCTGCGATTGCCCAGCACTAGGCAGGAAAAGACAGAAATTCCTAGGTATAGGTCTTCTAGACGATGTAAGCGCAACTGCTAAGTTGGGAATACGGCAGTTGCTAAGGTTCGCAGACTCCACGAACTGGTTTAAGGAGTAGGGGTTTTTGGATCCATGTGGTATCACAATGGGCCCTGATCGGGCGTAAGTGTGCTGGCGCCCTCTGGGCCTAGCAGCCACTTCAACCTAACCTAACCTACAGGAAGCTGTTCCTGCACGACATCTTACATAAGGTTTATTAATGGCGAAAACAGCTATTCCTGTCGTTTTCTCAAGTAACCTGTAACTTTAAAGCTCACTTTATATATAAAGGTTACATTAAAATTTATGATTGTGTCTGAAGTAAAGTATTTTATTATCGGTTTTAAATTGGTTTACAACCACGAAACATACATACGTCAAAAACCGATACAAAAATTCTTAACTTTAGACATAGTTTTATTTTTAATTCAACCTTTAAATCTGTGTTTGTATGGAATAGTACCGTATGTCGGGAAGCTCGCTTTAATATAATGCGGCATTCCCTTTATTCTTTAAACGACAAAGAATTTTTTGATGAGACTTTATAAGAATATTGACTTGCTAGTATCAGAACTATTTCTGCACGTTTATTTGCCAAAAGTTCTTCATCGGCTCGGCGCTAATGAGTTATTCACGATCGTATGTTGCGAATGCGGCATTATACTAAAGCCAGCCTTTCGACGTAAGCTACTTTTCCATATGAACACAGAAATATAAAGTGAGCATTAAAGTTAAAGGTTACTTCAGAAAACGGCCCTTAGTATGCAATTTCTTTATTTTTGAAAATGGGAATTTGGAAACATTGATTTGCTTACGCATCATTATTTTTTTACCTATTACCGGGATTTACACGGTTCAAGTATTGAATTCAATTATGTTTCCTAGTGGAAGAGAGGAGTTGAAAAGAAAAGGGAAAGAGTACATATGCGTCTGTACCGTCAAGTGGTTTCAAGTTTCTTGCTTTGCTGCTGACATTTTCGTTGTTTCCCATTTAAAGAACCAAAAACTGGAATTCAACAAAATTTAAGCGTGTAAAAGCAAATATAAAATGCAAAAGAGTATGAACCAGAATTGCTTTAAAGTACTTAAATCATGTAAATCGGGTGTAATTAAATTTGAAAAAAAAAAACAGTTTGAATATCTTTTTGGAACCATACTATGGTGTTAGTGATTCTGCGGCGATGGGAGAAACTATTGATATAAGCCAGGATTAGTAAAATTTTGGAGATTATTGTATTTCCGTTTGATACTTTGAATGAATAATCATGTAGAAGTCGAGGTACGGCTCGGCTATTTGTAAAATGATTTGGGTCCTTGTAGCGCACGCTTAAAATATGGACTTGTCAGTAAATTTTGGGTCTATAATTCAAAATTATCAAACTAAGGTGTTTAAAATAAAATACATAAATAGTAAATAAGCGGTTTGTAAAACAAAGTTAATTCTGAATTTCCAAAAAAAGTCAGAAAGGTTTCCTAAATATCTCAACAGCGATGTCTAATATCGATTTTTTTAACCTCAATCCTAGAATGTTTTCCCTGTATTAAGTCCAAAGAGCCGGGTCTAAAATAATTAGAATAAAAAAATAGAGCCCCTATTTTCATGCTTACCCTATTTTCACGCGCTTCTGTTGTTCGTCCGCAGAACGAATGCGCCTCCTATCTTCGTCGTTTTTGATTGCTGCATGAACTCCTACGTTTTCGTTAAACTGCTTACGTCCATTATAGAACTCCCAGCGGGTTGGCTTCGTTCGCGAATCTGTGGGCCTCTCAGCGGACCAGGCCTCACGTCGTCCCATCCATTCGGCGACCTGTAGTTTTAAATTAATAATTTTCACAAATGATTAGTTTATTGTATATGATCAATGTGTGTTATGAAGTAATACATACATAGGTGGCAGGGCAGGAAAGAAGAATATTTTCTTATAAAAATAGCATTTTTGTTGTTATTTTCAATAAAACATTATTAAAAAAATTAAAAACCAACTTAAAAAAGATAACAAGTGCAGTAAAAAGCTCCATATAAAATAGGGTAGGTATAGCCGTTTTATGGAGCGATACTCATATGGAGCGAGTCAGTACCGTCGGTAACGATGTTTAACTGGGGATTAGTGTTAACCAGAGATGGTGAAAATGGCCCATAAAGTTTTGTATTTAAAGAATTTAATCAAGTTTTCTTTGAATATATCGAGCCCTTACTATAGTTGTAAAACTATCGATAATGTCACCATCGATAGTTTTCCTGTTTCAGAAAAAAACTATCATTACTCGTTGATATTTTGCAGCAATACTATCGATAGTGTCAAGCGCTACCATTGATAGTTAATGTAATGTTAAAAACTATTCCAAATTAACCGGGACGGCATCGAAAAAGAAGAAACCTATTGAGAATATAAACACTCTTAGGGCCCTTTTTATCAATTTCAATCTTTTTTATGTTTAAAGATTGCTTTAAAATGTATAGTTCTGTCTAAGTAAAGCATTTTGTTATAGAATTTTATTTATTTACATAAACACCCATGTATTACTGAAGCTTATATACAATTAAGAATAAAATTATAAGCCTAGTAGAGAAAGCTTTGGCTGCTATGGCATTCAGCTTCTTCTTATGATGTATAATTAGTGCATATTCTAAATTCTCAAATATGATATATTTATTGTACATGTTGGTTTAAATTTCGTAATATAATTTTTTGATTTGTTTACACTCAAGAAACATCTAAACACCAAAAACCAATAATAGAAATGCTTTACTTCAGACGTAGCCATATGGTTTACGTTATGCAAATGACTACAAGCAATTTCAGTTTATTTTAAATGATGGACAACATTTAATGATAGTAATCCATATAAGCAAAGATAATTGGATTGCCAATGGAAAAAAAAATTTAAAAAGTGTGTTTTTTAAAAAGTTTTCGATACTACGAGTACTTTGCAAAGTATCGAGTAAAATCAACAAATAAGGTATCGAATACTAAAGTACTCATTTTTATACCATCAATATCGATGCTTACTCAATATCGATAGTATCGTTCGAACCCTGGCGCTCAAGGCCTCATATAAAAGATACATTTACATTTATCTTTGTTGTTGTAGCTATATTCACCCTTGAGGAAGGCACTGGGTTGTGTGCTGCTATTTAATGGCCTTCCTCAGACTTTTTATTAGATTTCAGGGTTGTGTCTGCATTATTACTAGATAAATAAATTTAAGCATTTGACAAATCGTAATTTTATTAAAAGAAAATTATAAATGGTGTTGAAAAACCAAACAGACGATCGTGCGAAAGCTCTATTTTTGTATGTTGTTAAAGTTTATACATGGCGATATTGATGGTAATACAGGCAGTGTATTCATTTGTGGATTTGATGTTACTTGAGAATTTAGGCAACGTGCGAGCTGCCAGGTTCTGTTATCAATGTAATTAACACAAGCTTTTCCGCGTGGTTACCTTTCAATAAATAGAATTAACAAATATTCACAAATAAATTTTGATTTATTTTATAACTGACAATTAACGTACGCTTTTTGTTTTTTTCCAGACTCCATTTTGATTTGGACTCCATTACCGCCAACAACTTTAACAGATCTATTCTGCGCTGGTATTAAAAGTTTTGTAACCGGTAAATTAAGTTCCTGTCAAATTTTAAACCTTTTTCGAATTCTGTGTACTCTTGTAACCGATAAATTTTGTTACCATCTCATAAGCTGGTAACAAAGTATTGCCCCGTGAAATATGCAATGCCAGAACTTCCACAATTCTTCATAGCTGAATTGGTGAATATTTTAACTGCATTACCAACGTAACTAGAATCGCGGTGACAAGAACTGGTAACATTTTTTGGTAATAAAATTTTCCGGTTACAAAATCTTTGGTAACGTGCAGAATAGATCTGTAAGTGTATACATATTTACAGCTGTCAAAATTTTGCATGGTCCACGAGCTAGGTAAAAATTATGGCGTTCGTATTCATAACGAGCAATCTGTGTTTGCTCTTTCAAAATTTTCTCTTTTTTTATCAGTTGGCAAAGGCCCTCAGTGGCGGCGCTCCGAGCGTTGAGATAGTAATTTCATGTCAATTAGTAGAAAAGTTCCATGGTGTAATTCTTGCTGTAAAACTTTTCACCAGCGGGTTGAAAATTTTCATTTACCTCTTAGTTGTCAAAAATTTGCAATCCGGAGTACTTTTCTATCAATTGGCACATGTATACCATTTTATGTGGAATTATTCAATAAATTTCGTTTTACACTATACTTTTTGAAACTGTTTGGAGTTAATTATTTTTTGTTTCTCAAAAGCAACTCTGCTTGCTTAGAAAGCGTGTGTACCAATAATTTCACCCCTGGCATATTCATCCCCGAGGAAGGCAGTCACCAAATTCACCCAAGGTTGTTTACTGGTTATATTGTGCTGTGAATACGTACATGTATAAAAAAGGATATAACAAAAATTTGTGAAACAAATACCAACACATAAGTATTTTCGCAATGAATGCGTTTAAAAATATACTTTTCATAAAAACACGCTTTACGCTCTTGTCTTTAGAACGGGATCTTAGCCTGTGGACAAAAACATCGACTTACATATACCAACGCGCTAAATAGGCCAAATACACCGCACAAACTGCTGTTAAAATCTCCTTTTCTCATTTCCTCTACACTGAGAGAAAAATCAACAAGAAATTGGTTAATATTACCAAATTCAAACTTGGAAAGGAATCAGCGTGGTTTTTGGTTAATACTAACAATGCCTTGGTTGATATTTTCAACAATGATTTGGTAATATTAACCAAAATTTTGTTTACATTAGTAGTAGTAGTTGCGCGTAAAAATTTAGGAAATCGCCATTGGCTGTTTTTAGCGAATTTTTCCTTTCAAATAAATTTTTTCCAATTATAAAAATATACAAAGCTAATGAACTGCGTGATAAACTTGACTTAAGAAGCATATTAAAAGACTGTCAAAAATATTTAATCACCCCAATCGAAGGACTTTTCAAACGATTACCTAGTCAATTAAATACTTGTAAAAAAGGTTTGATTTTGTCGCCAGAAAAGTGTGTGAACCACAAGGGGCGAGTTTCAGGGACCTGCCAATTCACTATTTGACTTTGAAGGAAAGAAAAGCAGCGGAAACTGAGAATTTAAATCTTTTAACTTTCCCATGGAATAACTTTTTTCGGAACCATTCTATCCGACTCTGAAGAATTTTGGATAATTGCTTACGGAGTGAAAACCGAAACAGGCAATAAAATGTTTGGAAATATAAGTGAATTCATGTTATTATCCTTGCCGCACTCACTTGCTTTGTTGAACACGTTTTTCCGTAATGAAATCTAAAAAACTAAGATTCGAAATAGGATGAGGTTGGAAAGCCTTAATTCAGTAGTTCGAATGAAGTGTTATATGAAGGCTAATTGTTTCTGCTGCAAAACAGTATGTTATCGACGTTGAATAGCTCAATATATGACAACAACAGAAATGTAAATAATTCAGACACTATAGGCGATTTTGAAGAAATTGTGGAAGTAGCTGACCTCGCCTTATTATAGGTTTATGGCTACTGTACACAAGTACACGCCGAGTTCTTAAAAGCGGATTGTGCCATTAATCAATTAATATGAGTTATAATAAATTTATTAATTGCGCAGTCCTATTGGGAAATGCATTAATACAAATATTTTTTTAAATTATGACTATTTTTAAATAAAATTGTCTCTACGTCACTCTCATTTGAGTGATTTGTGTTATTTATTATTACCCTGAAGACATTATATTCGTTTTTGGTTTTAAAAACTTTATTATAACAAGATCTCATTTTTAAAATTAAGGATTTATTAAATCGATTTCATGAATTTTATTTAAAAAAAAAATGGCGATTTTTGGCGATTTTTTCAGAAATTGCGCTTTTTTTAACAATCTGGACACTTTGATAATAACCCAAAAAAATTTGCAAGAGAGCAGTGAACCGAGAGCTTAATAACACGGGAGAGCTGCAAATTCTTGCTAGTGAAATTTTTACTAGCGGAAGAAGAACAAGAACAAATGTTAAAAGTCGCCATTTGTGGAATTGGTTTAGCACAAACAAAAGTAAAATGAGTGGAAATCAAAATATTAATGATGTACTGGACTGTGTAAGTGCTTGTGTGTAAAGCAAAGAGTTTAAAACTGATTTAAAAAATGTTAACAGCAGAATGTCAAAACGGTGCAACAACTATTCACTTGCAAGTTTTATCTAGTTATGTGTTCAGTAACTTTATCTGTTAGTTTTCTCTTCTTCCCAATTATGAATAAAATCGGCTGTGATAGAGGTTTGAAACTCTCGATAGTCAACTAGTACTATCGATAGTTTAAGCTTTTTTGAGAAAAACTATCACTACTCATCGATAGGGGCAACAAAATAAAACTATCGATAGTACCATCGATAGTTTGACAACCCTAGCCCTTAGACTATGTTTAAACAGGCCAATTAGCTGAGACAGTTAAGCTTTAAATTGCGGAATTGAGTTTGGTACAATCGTACCTTAATTTTGTTTGAAAGTGCATTCGGTAAAAACTCACAATTTTAGGTACAGGACAATAACTTCTCAGGAAAGTTCTTATTTTTATTGACATTTCAATGCATTTTCTGTTGCGGGCAACAATACCTTCCCTTCTTTGTGAAGGGGCATAAAAATGATACAAAAAGGTGGTCAAAGTAACGCAACTGTAGTTGATTTCGCCCGATAGACGGAAAATATTTATTTTTAAACGTCAGATCGGAGAACTGGGATGAAAGTGATTCACCTTTTCTACAACATAGTTTTGTCTC